TGGAAGAGATGCCCTGGTTCAGAGCTGTGAAAGAATTCAGTGATGCCAAAAAGTCATCTGAATCAAAAAGAGATCCTGATGAAGAAGTTTTGCCCAGAGTGATTGAAAAAACTATTCTGCCAAAAATTACAGGTACAGTAAGGTTGTCTTGAGAATGTTTACTGCAGCTAGCTAATCAAACCTTAAATAAGTGGTAAATGTAACTCTTAAGATAATTTTACAATTACTTGTTGAGGTTACTGTGAATGAAAGGTTTAGCTTTTTGAGTGTTTACTTCCTTGAAAGTAGAGCAGATAGCCAGTTGGGTATCATGAATGAAATAAATTCCTATTTTTCAGCATTTGTGAAGAGTGTGTGGGATCCTTTATCAACTTCACAGACTGAGAACCTTATACAGCTTTGCCATAACGTGTTTGAACAACAAGTCCTGTCCAGAAGTGAGCGCAGCCAAGCAAGGCAGGTAAAGGCTGTTGTGGTAATGGGGAAGGAAGTTCTTGATCCTGTGTGTGCACTTTCTGTGCTTGCTTCTGTGTGCCCCTAGGATGATCTGAGGTTGTTCAGTTCTGATTAATTTTTGTCTCTGTATAGTCAGAAAACTTAACAGTTAACATCTCAGTATTCTGAAGGTTATGGGGCACGGGGTACCCCTGAGACAGGTGTCAGTCTGTGTTCCTAGAAAAATTGTGCCTGTCCCTGTCAGAAATCTGTTTGAAGACTGAATCATCTTGCTTTATCACAATAAAAATTGTCAGAAATTTTGCACTAGCATGGAAGTATCCTTTAAAATTTGATATTTAAATACTAGTAGTATTCCAGTGGTCGGCTTGGTTTGTTTTTAGCCCTAACATAGACATGGACGAGAAAAACAAGGAATTCTTTATTCTCCCAGCAAAAATGGGAAAAAAAATCCCAAAATACGAGTTAATGGTTAGGAGAAAGGCTACTGCACTTATCTTGGTGATCATGTAATAATTACTTTATGGGAGTTTTCACTGCAGCATGCCCTTAGCCCAGTTCTGCTTTCATTCTCACGTAAATCTGGGAGTTTATCTGGTGTAAAGGAGGTGAAACTAAGTTGATGTTTAGGCCCTTAATATGAAAAGAAATAACAAACGTTTTTGCAGTCACTGCTCTTGACTTCAAGTAGACAACTTGAGGTAGAATTCTGTTTGCATAGCAGCCATGGTGTTTTGTTGTGGTTTTTTAATAGAACTACATAGCTGGAAAATACTTGTTATCCAACAGGATTTTATTTAAAAACAAAAAAAAAGATGGTTAGAGCTGAGACTCGTTCACAGGTCTTTAATGTAGTCACGATCTTAGTGTGTATTATATACCATGTCACTTCCATTCAGCTCAATCAGCATTTTGCTTTTCCACATTAACAAAATAAGTGCCTAAAATTGTTGTAAATGGACCAAATGTTGTGAGGATGTGTTAATATTTTTCTTTTCTTTTTTTTTTTAACAGGATTTGATTCAGGGGGTTGTCCTGAGGATGAAGAAGTCTGTAGAGGAGGATGTCTTTATCCCTGTGTATCCTACAAGGTAAGCTGACTCTGGGAATTATTTTGTTTTACTTTTAAAAATTTTTATTTTTAGTCACAGAATCACAGAATTGCTCAGGTTGGAAAAGACCTTAAAGACCATCAAGTCTAGCTGCAGCCTAACCTATTTTTTTAGCCTTTATTCTATTTTTCTGTGCCTTTTCCCCACAGGCGTAGGTGAAATATATTGTAGGCATCAATGAACAAGTGGAACAGATGTGCCTTCTACTGTTTCGTTATAGGAATAGTTACCAAACATTAATGTTTATGAACTCTTTCTGACAAGAGCAACTCTGCAGTCAGCTTCATGCTTTTTTGCTCCTAAAACTAAAAGCTTTCATTAATGGAAAGATTTTAGTTTTAGTATAATCAGTTTAGCTTCTAGTACAACTGGAGGCTGGTTTTGTGATATTAGAGCAGCTGAGGGCTCATGTTATTTTTGGTGGTCTGTTCCCCCTTCTACTCTTGACTCCTCCTTTCTTTCCTGAAATAGTTTATATTGCTGATGCTTATTGCTTGATTACAGAATCACCAAGGCTGCAAAAGACTCACAGGATCACCCAGTCCAACCATCCACCCACCACCAATAGATCTCACTAATCCTTGTCCCTCAACACAAAAACACAAAATCCAAAAGTTCCTTGATCACCTCCAGGGTCGGTGACTCCACACCTCCCTGTGCAGCCCATTGCACTGCCTGACCACTCTTTCAGATAAGCAGTATTTCCTAACATCCAGCCTAAACCTCCCCTGGCGCAGCTTGAAGCCATTCCCTCTAGTTCTATCACTGTTACATGAGAGAAGAGGCCGACCCCAGCTCACCACAACCTCCTTTCAGGTAGTTATGGACAGCAGTGAGGTCTCCCCTGAGCCTCCTCTTCTCCACACTAACAATCCAGCTCCCTCAGCTGCTCCTCATAAGGCCCCATTGTGCTCCACACCCCTCACCAGCTTTGTTGCCTTTCTTTGAACATGGTGCTCTTAGAGAGAGGATAACTAGAAAGAGTCTGGTAGATGTGGGGTTAAGATCCAGCTAGGAGAAAAGTGTTGCTAAACCTGATGCAGCATGTTTGTGTGGTTACAAGCAGTGTTGTTCTGGTCAGAATCCATTAAACACAGACTGGAGTGTTTCCAATTGCAATTCCTGTGGGTACTGTCATGAGTTCAAATTAACAGCTGTTTCCTTAGATCTTTATTCTGGCTGTCACTGCTGAAAGAATTCCATAACTGTAATTCATCAGTGTTTAAGAGATGAATTGTCTGTTTGTCTTATTTTAAGGACAAACAAAACCCTTATTTTACCTTTTCTTTCTCTGACCAGCACTGTGGAAGACAAATCATCACCATGTTCACAATTCCAAGAAAGACGGTTTTGGTCAGCTGTGAAGGTAAAGGAACAATACTGATCTTCTGAGAAAATCATTTCAGTTAAAAGTAGAAGGTAGTCTTTGAGGAAATGTACCTTAAGTCTGCTGTGTGTGATGACAAGGCCATGGTAACAGCCCTGTGTTGGCTCCCTGCTGCCACGCTGCACATCCCTGTAGAAAAGTCGGGGAATGGGGGAATGTTGAGGACTTGCCACATTCACTCCTAGGGTGAGCTGTTGTGTAAGGGTTTGCATGGACAGATGCAGAGAAGACAAGAGGGAGCTTAATACTGATTCAGATGCCCAGCAGAAACAAAGCAGACAACTTGGACCATCTTCTCAGACTGTGTATTGCCTGATTTAAACGTGTTGTCAAATAATGCATGTTTGTAAAAGAGAGACCGGTGGTCTTTCACTGCGGATTGAAGTTCTCTCCTTTTAGTTTGTTTTCCATCTTTGCTGTCAATGTTCTCTTTAGGAGTAATGTGTAAAATAGATTTAAATGTTCTTGTATCGGGTACCTCAGGTATCTGTTGACAGTTTGCCACTATTTTTTTCTGGAGTAAAGTCATGAATTATTTAACCCAGTGTCAGAAGTTCTGCAGGTCATGCATTAAACTCTTTAGGTCTGTTCAGCAGCTTATTAGAGTGACTTATCTGTGTTTGAGACTGCTGTTGTGCAGCCCCTAATGGTGCTGTCTTTCAAAGCAGGTGATCATCTGTAAACTCTATTGGGAATGGCCTCTAAGGCAAGCCCAGAAATGGTATGGCAGAGCTCAAATAAGGGGCTGGGCAAGAGGTGGGATGGGAGCTATTTTGATACAAAAGTACAGCTGATGAGACTTTGATGTTTGTGCCATCATACAGTCTAACTTTCGTAGCAGCTCGTGGAGTCAAAAGGAAGTGTCCTGTCAGACATTCAGAGCAATGCGCAGCAGCCATGGGCTTTGTGACTGCTTTCTGACTGGTGACCTGAGATCACGCACTGTGTGTGCGGGTGAAACACCTCGAGGTTAACAGTTACCTTGAAATTCTGTATTGAGGGGAAACCAGGGATGTTCTTATGCTGGGCTTAAATCTTTTTAAATAGTCATTTTGACAGTGATAGGGTAACTAAAGACAACTCTTGCTAACTAATAATACTGAGATCAAATACAAAAGAATCTTTTTGCTGCTGTGGACCAAGGCTACCAACCTCACCTGTGTTATGAGGCTGATGGCATGTAATCTTATGTAGCAGATGCAGTAGTGGGTGGTTTTGTTGTTTTTTTTTTTCATTCTGTCACAAGATTCTCTCAAAGGTTCACTTAGAATTGGATCTCAGTTGCTGTTGATCCCTGCTTCTTGCTGGCCTTGGTGTCTCTGTACATGTGTACACCTTCAGATTTGACCACTGGCTTTTCTCTGAAAAAATACAGCATGATTCTTTTCTGTTCTTGGGTGTTAGCAAATTGGAAGGGTGACATGCTCCTTATTTGCTGGGGAGGTGATGTGTGTATGTATTAGGGTACAGCTCATAGCACGTGTAAAATTAATGCACTTCAAAATACTATTTATGATACGTAGCTTTTTAGTGGCTAATTGGCAGTAAGCTTGGAGAGAATAAATCCTATTTTTTGAGTAGTGAAATTGGATGCTGCGGTATCCTTGAAGTTCAACAAAGAGGTTTAACACACCTCCCGCCTCCAAACATGCGTGCTGTGTGTCTTCATTTCTGCAGCTGCTCTCCAATGTTCTGCTTTGGGATGGGATTGTAGAGGAAGACGTGCTCCGAGATTTGGGACTCAGCAAGCTGCTGAACCGTTACCTTGTTCTGAACCTCTTCAACACGCCACCAGGGCCAGAAAACATAGAGAAGTGTAAAAAGGTAAGAAGTCTCATTTCCATGGGGACAGATGTAGTCTGAAGATGAAATATAATTATTTAACATCTAATTTTTTTTATGACCTTGGTGTATAAAAGCATTTTAAAAGCCTATGAGCCAATGCTTGCTTTGGGAATAACTGCTTATAATGATGATCCTGTTTTTTGAAGAATAAACACAACCAATCATAACTGAACTAGCCAAAAGGAGAATTCTGTCAGAAGTGGTGTGACTTAGTTTTATTGAAAGTCTTTTTTTTAAACCTTCCAACTTACTGCCTGGGTGAGCAGGTGGCTGCGTGCTTCCCAGAAAGGTGGTTCCAAAATCTTGGAAGTGGCTCAACTCTCCCTGAGTTACAGAACTTCTGCCAGCATTTGCTTCAGTGTGCACGTGTGCTCCACAGGAACAACCACAGGTAAGAAATCACACTTTCTTTGGGATGCAGCACTTCCTCATATACTTCATGCTAATATTTCTTATAGGGATGTGGTGGTTCAGTGGGCATGGTGTTGATGGGTTGACAGTTGGACTAAATGATCTTTGTGTTCCTTTTCAACCTTAATGATTCTACGATTCTTAAATTCCTCAAGTCTCACCAATTTAACCCTTTCAGTGATGTACTTCCAACATCTACATACAAAACATGCAATCCATGATGTAAAATGGAGTGCTTTTACAGTACTAGTTCAGGTTAGTTTGAGGCTCTGGATGTTGGGTGCAGTTAGTGGTCAGTGTAGCTAAAAGCACCAGGTGACAGCCGGGGAGAATTCTCTGCCTCTCTTTTAAATAGACTTCAGCTTTACTGATTTTGAAGTCAGGTGTGAATGTGCTGCTATATCAACTTTTTTTTTAATAGTGATGAAACTGAAGAAGTTATTCTCCTGATGGTAAAAGTCAAGGCTCTGTGTATTGCTGAAGAGTTCATTGAAGAGTACAAACTGGAACATCTGAGATCTGTGATCAGAAAATAAGGATTTCTTTGAAACAGCAGTTCTTTTACTGAAACAACCTGATGCTCACTCTAAAAAAGTGGTAATGTTTAATTAGTGGACCTGCCCACAGCTGTTTTTCCAAACGTGTCCTACTACCATCTGCTCCTAGGTGGAATCGCAGTCATCAGTGTGAAGCGCAGGAGTTCTGCAATGAACGACAAAGCCTGAGTGCTTCCTTCTTTGGGGGAGGAGGACTGGAATAAGGAGGTGCCTGTAACGTTACTGCTGCTACTGTGCACACAGCTTCACAAGCTGTTTTCAGCTCCATACCAAATCACTCTGACTCGGAGTCACTGAACTCTAACTCATTGCCCACTTAATGAGAGAACTCTGCCAAACTCCCTTTTTCACTCAACAAGCTTGTCATAGCTTTTTGATCCTGGCACAAAAGCAGGTCTGTGTGCAGGGAGGAGTTTGATCTGTGAACATGCTGATGGTAAACGGGTGTTCAGGAAGGTAAGAAGCTGCACAGGAGAACATCTTAACATCTGTGTCTGTTCTTCTCCAGAGTGTGGTCTGTAGAGGAGCTTTGTGCTTGACATACAGACTGCACTTGGTGCACGGACCTGGAGTTGTCACACCCTGATTTATCAGACAAGCAGAAGAACAACTCCAGTTACCTTCTAGTAACTGACTTTCTAAGGAAGTCTTACTTTGGCTTCCCACTAAGACACCTCATTTCATTGTACCCATGTCAGATTTCTAATGTTGTATAACTTTGTATATGTGCAGTAAATATTACTGCTGCAGAATAAAAAGGATGCTTTATTGTAGAAACAGCAGTGCATCACAAATTCTAAGCTCATCAGTTCCTGTTTCTCTGAAATGTTATGGGTCTAACATTTAACTCTTGGAGGCTTTTATATTCCCTACGATTTTTCTATTTTTTATGACAGAATATATATTTTTGTAAACTATTTTAACTGTAAATAGCATTGATCAGTGTTACAGACAAAAGATGACTTAAAATAAAAGCAGAGCAATTATTTTGAAGAGTAAAGATATTTTTGTGTTAATAAGACTTCTAACATTTTCAAGGCTTGAACATATGGCAGTAATATCATGTGAAGCATGGATAAAAACTTTGCCACCACTGGCACTTCATTATCTTCAGGAATTGGGAGTGCTGTGGTAAATAATTGCATACTCCTACTTTCCTGAGTGCAAAGGAAATGTAACTGCTCAGTAATTAGCTCGAGCATGTGATCTCACTGCTTGCTTTGTCTCTTCTCCTGCTTCCTCATTCATGTTGAAAGTTGCTCCTGAAGAAATTATCCTGTGTTGCTATGAAACTGGAATAGATTCTATCATACTTGACCTGTAGGTGCTTCTTCCAGTGGCTGCAGACATCACTTGTCATCACTCGTAAGCAGGGGAAGGCAATTTTTACTGGAGCTCAGACCCCCATTGCAGCTGAGTATCTCGAGAACCTCCTGTGCCGCGGGGCGCTGAACCTTACCCCGCTCACACGACCTCATCTGACTAACAGCTCATCTGGCTTCATTCTTTCAGGCTGGTTTCAGAATGTTTGTATTGCTGCTTTGTTGTCAGATGATTACTGGTGCTTTACCAAATGTGATTTCAAAAGTGTTTACAGGGCCACTAAGCAGCACTTACTCTCAGATTGTGCAGTTGAGCTGCTGAACGTCTGCTTCCCTGCCACAGCCCCCTCTGAACCTACTGCACTAAGCGTTTTCACAGTTGCCCACTGCCTACTTGGCAAAGACAGAAGAAACAACTATTTGGATAGTTGAACATTCAGAAAGGAACTGCTGACATTTTACTGTGTATTTTACCTGCATACAAAACTTGAGAACTGACAATTGATCACCGAACTCAAAGCTGTTACTTCCTCAGCTCTTCACTCACTTCCCTCCATATTTTTTCCTCTATCTTTGAGGTATCATACTCTCGCAGCATATCAAATTCCAGCCAGGGCTTCTTCCACTTCTGTGCTTCTTTCATTGTTTTCTCAGGTAGCTCAAACTTGATTCCTTTTATGTTGTATTTTGGCCTTTCCCACCGTTTTGACCAAGGTTTAGGTTTCATTCTTACCTGCAGCTAGGGGGAAAGATTAAAAAAATAAAATAAATAAAAAATGAAACGTATTAAAAGGTCAGAATTCTGACTGTGAACCAAAAGTAGTGAGACAAGTGCTGCTTTAATAGAAAAACCAGACCAATCTGTCAGTAAACTAAGGGACTATTGGTCATCAGTGGGAGAAAAGGGATTTTCTGTCTTTTATGTCTGTTAATTAACCTAAATGAAACTGATTTATTACACGGTCCTTACAGCGGCATGCCATTAACTAACTCTTCTATGGTTCTAACTGTGTTACTAAGGAAAAAAAAACATGGCAGCAGCTGTTTGTCCTTTTCCCGTAAGCTAAGGTGGATGGCATTCTTTTACCAGTCTGCCAGAGCTCCTGAGATGCAGATCTTGCTCCTTCCGCCCCCAAGTCAATAGCATTAAGTTTCCGCAGTCTTGGCTGTGCTGTCTGCATGTAATGCAGAGGAACCTGCAGGCTGTTACTTCCTGCAGTCTCTTCTAAGTTGCTTTCTGAGGAAGGCAGGTACTTGGTTATAAATGTTTTCACTACAGGAGCAGCATTAAAGCACCAGATGTTACATACTTGTATCACTAACACAACTAGAAGTTAAGAGCCTTGCAGGCGATTATCAAATGGCCACTTGGAAGAGACTTGCAAAGGATCATAGGAGTTCAACCCCTGGCTCCACATAAAACCAGCCACAGTGTCTGAGTGGGGTCCAAAGGCTCCTTGAAGTCTGGCATATTTGGGCCTGGGGAACCTGTTCCATGACTGATCAACCTCTGCTGCAGAAGCTTTTCCACCCTGAGCCTTCCCTGCTGCAGTCCTCTATCTGGCCCTGAAATGGAGCCCTGCAGCAGCCCCAGGGGACGGCTCAGCACCCTGATGCAACCCCTGTATCAGTCAGAAAGTTAACTAAATTATCCCCTGCTATTTTAATTCCCACTAAAATATTGAACTCCTACCTTGTTTACAGGGATTTCCTCATGGTCTAAATGAGACACAGGTTTCATATTCATATCAAAAGTACTATATTCAGGAAGGGCATCTCTCAGGTACATCAGGTTGTCATCCAGCCTTTTTTCCAGCTTCAGAACTGTGATTTCCTGGATCCGAGGACTGTACAGTTCGTAACAAATTTCAACACCTTCGAGAGAGGAAGTCTGGTTCAGTGATCACATAGTTGGAAATACTAATACCAATTTAGTATTTCTTCAGTGTTCTATAACTCTGTATAATTTAAGAGCTGCTTTCCACCTGTACAGGGAACTACATACACAGTGCTGTGGGGACAGGTGATTGTTCACATGCATTACACCTGCATTTGCACAGGCAAGTAAGTCCAGTTGTTGGTAACACAACGGCTTGAGTGTGTGTGTGTGTGTGTGTGTGTGTGTGTACACAGACACATTTGTTATGCTGTGGGCCTGAACTGTGCAACAAGTGCAACAAATCCACAGCGGCCAAACTGGCTCTAGGGCTTACATGGCTAGCAGTAAGTTTAGGAAGAACTGCATTCTGTGGCAGGGATGCCATGCTGGAGCAGGGGAAGAGAGTGAAGATACAAAGCATTATGAAATGACTGCAGCCTCCATTCTCTGTGCCACTTGAGGGGAGAAGGTAGGAGAGGAGGAAAGGTGTTTTCAGTTTGCTTTTACTTCCCCACTACTTGAGTTTGTTATTACTAGGCAATGAATTACATTGACCTCCCTTACGCCAAGTCTGTTTTGTCCACAATGGTAACTGAACATGATCTCCCCGTCCTTATCTCAACCTAGAACCCTTTTTTCATATATTTTTTTCCCCTGGTCTTTTGAGTAGGGAGAGTGAGAGAACAGTGTGGTGGATCTGAGCTGCCCATCAGTGCGCAGCCACCACACACGTTCAGCCTCATGCGAGTACAGATCTGAAACACAGCACACAGGCATAAAATGACTAAGCAGTGCCATGTGTTCAAATATATGGATTACTGCCTCAATGGAAATCCCACCTTGGTCTTCGATCACATTCCGAAGCACAAAGGTCGCACCAAGCCCTCTTCCTCCTCTTTGAATGCAGATCCCCACAAACCGGTTGGTTTTGCCATCAGCATACGGATCTGCAGTAGTAACAGCAAGTATACTGCCTGCAAAAGGAACCAAGGAAAAACAGCAGGCTGTGCAAGCAAACTAACACCAGCACATGGTAAAAGGGTCAGATGGAGCACAGTTAGGCACGTTTCAAAAATGGTTAATCATCCAACTGAACTGCCAGAAACAGAATAAATTGTAGCATACATTCATTCAGAACAGGCTAAAAGTGATTCTGCACTTAACTGTAAAGCTCTGTCCCTCCTTAAGCCTTCACCTGTACAGTTTTTTACACAAACTGAATACAAATAATCAGTTTCCATTCCTTGAGTTTTACTCATTAACCACACTGAAATGCCAGTTAAAAAAAACATACACAAATTATCTGAAAGAAACACAAAGTATTATCTTTTCACTGGAAATTGAATGAGAGTTTAAAATATGAACTGGTAAGCACAGACACACACACAGGCTGATCTAACACAGCAGATGCTGCGATGTCCCCTGATAACTCAATTCCAGAGCACGCTTTTAACCATCTCACCCAATGAACAACAGTTAAGAAGTGTGACAGTTCCAGTGCTGCTACTGACCAACATAGAACTCGGGGATGTTGAAGACTTTTCGTCTCTGTATCATATCCTTTCTTTCCATATAGAATTTCAGAGGATCTGTTCTTCCTCTGGGAGGTATAAATTCAGGGCTCAAAAACCTGTAAGAAAATCCAAACTTAAATAAGTTTAAAACAAAAGCATTTCCACATTTCCATTAAAAATATTAAAGAAATCCAAACATTTGCCTAAAAATTAAATACTGCCACACGCTGACCATCTGTGCCAGCTGTCTTCTCAGAGACAGGAACTGCAAATTACTGATTTTTTTTTTAAAACCCATTTTTTTTTCTCCAAAACAATGCTGTTCTTGGAAGAACAGACCAAGAGATGACAATCCTGTTACTTTTATCTCAGTTTAGGAGCAGATTATTTCATAGTTTAACTGTAATCCACAATAAAAAAAACAAAACACTTCTTATTTCATCACTTGATAGTAAAAGATAGGAAAAAAGTTATTACTGTTTCTTACAAACGGCTGAAGAGAGCCTACAGGAAACATCACATTCGAGTGGTTATCTTGTGTTGGCAAAGCTTAAAGGAACACTAAAAACTCTTTTCTGCTCGGATGAATTACACCGTGCCAAGGAAATCTCATGCTCTGGAGCTCAACTGCCTGGCAGTAAGTTGAAGGCTTCCAGACACAGTGTTGGCCTGGCCTGAGGGCCACTACCAACACATTGTTTGCATGGGGTCACTGTGCTTCAGACAGCATGAAGACTTGGCGTCAGAGCCAATGAAGATGGATACATTTAACTCACATTTAACTCTTAGATGACCAGCATCTGGTCAGGAGAGAGCACAAGAAAGACGACAAATGCATACCTGCCTGACAAGCCTTACATAGACTACATGGAAAGCACAGGATGATGGACAGGGCAGCACACGGAGGTTCTGCTCAGTGCTGCTGCTTGCAGGCAGCCATTAAGATGAGAATTGACATCAGGCCTCTGCTATCAGGCCTGCCCCTCATCCTCATAGTTACAGGAGTCACAGAATCACAGAATGGTCCGGGTTGGAAGGGACCTCAAGGATCACGAAGCTCCAACTCCCCACCAAAGGCAGGGCCACCAACCTCCACATTCAGTACCAGCCCAGGCTGCCCAGGGCCCCATCCAACCTGGCCTTCAACACCTCCAGGGATGGACGGGGCATCACAGCCTCTCTGGGCAGCTGTTCCAGCACCTCACCACTCTCACAGCACACAACTTCCCCCTGACATCCAACCTCAATCTTCTCTCCCTCAGCTCCAAACCATTTCCCCTTGTCCTGCTGCCATCTCCCCTTTCACAGAGCTGACTCCCCTCCTGTCTGCAGGCTCCCTTTAGGCACTGCAGGCTGCACTGAGGTCACCCCACAGCTTCTCTCCTCCATGCTGAACGAGCCCAGCTCCCTCAGCCTGTCTTTGTAGTGGAGGTGCTGCAGCCCCCTGATCATCCCTGTGGCTCCTCTGGACCCTCTCCAACAGCTCCCTGTCTTTCTTGTACTGGGGGCTCCACACTTGGACACAGCACTCCAGATGGGGCCTCACAAGAGCAGAGCAGAGAGGGACAATCACCTCCCTGTCCCTGCTGGCCACCCCTCTGCTGATGGAGCCCAGGACACCATTTGCCTTCCAAGTCACAAGAGCACACTGCTGGCTCATGTTCAGTTTTTCATTTATCAAGGCCCCCAGGTCCTTCTCCCCAGGGCTGCTCTCAAGGAGCTCCTTCCAGTCTGTGTGGATGCCTGGGATTCCTCCAGCCCAAGTGCCAAACTCTGCACTTTGCTGTGTTGAACCTCATCAGGTTCCCCCTGCCCACCTTTCCAGCCTCTCGAGGTCCCTCTGAATGGCCTCCCTTCCTTCCACCCTGTCGACCACATCACTCAGCTTGGTGTCGTCAGCAAATGGCTGAGGCTGCCCTCGATTCCGCCATCGCTGTCATGATGAAGATGTTACAGAGCACTGCTCCCAACACAGAGCCCTGGGGACGCCGCTCGTTACCGGCCTCCACCTGGACACAGAGCCATCGATCACCACCCTCTGTCTGCGGCCGTTCAACCAGTTTCTTATCTAGCGAGTGGTCACCCATCACATCCACATCCCTCCCATTTGGAGATAAGGATGTGGTGGGGGACCGTGTCAGAGGCCTTGCTCAAGTCCAGGTAAGTTCAGGAGTTCCGGAGAAACATCATTTAAATCCCTGCTGTCCCTGGTAACCTCATTACAGGCTGCATGCCTTAGGTGGGCCATAGCCGCTTACTCTTCACATCTTAAAGACATGAACACTAACAGATCTGAAGGCAGAACGGAAGATTTTATAATATTTTTAATACTTTTCCCATTCCTGAGGATTATGCTGTTTTTCACAAGATCACAGAACCATAGGATCATTAAAGTTGGAAAGGATCAGATCATCAAGTCCAAATGTTGACCCATCCCCACCATGCCCACTAAACTACGTCCTTCAGAGCCACATCTCTACGGATCTCAAACACCTCTATGGACAGTGATTCCACCACCCACCTGGGCGTTCTGAAAATACATTTTTTCTATTATTCAACCTGAACCTCCCCTGGCACAACTGAAGGCCATCGCTTCTTGTCCTTTTGCTGCTACCTGGGATTAGAGGCTGACTCCCACCCAGCCACAACCTCTTTTCAGTAGCAGTGAAAAGACACAAAGTTTCTCCTGAACCCTCTTCTCTCCAGCCTGAACAATCCCTGTTCCTTTAGCCACTCCCATGATATTTAGGGCGCTTTGCCCTTCTCTGAACATGACCCAGGGCTCCAGTGTCTTTCTCATAGTGAGGGGCCCAAAACTGAACACAGTACTGGATGTACAGCAGTGCTGAGAAAAGTGGGCAGATCAGCTCACCAGCCCTTCTGACTGCACTATTTCTGATACAGGCCAGGATGCTGTTGGCATTCTTGGCCAGCTGGGCACACCTTTGGATACATGCAGCCATTGACCAATACCCCCAGTGTGCACAACATCACACTGTCACTCTCCTCCCAGAGGCAGCAGCACCATTTCAAACACCGTGCCACTTAAAGCAATGCAGATGGGTTTAGGAGACACGAAAAATGCTTAGCTGGAGAAAAATTCACATTGACTAACAGCAAAACCTGTGCTCAGCTCCCAGCCGACCTCGAGGTCTGAGCCAAAGGCACAGAGCTGTGTCCGCTCCCTTCCGACATGCAGTTTTTGTGCACTAACACCTCAGAGCCCCAGCCACCCTTCCTACCTCCTCTCCTGTCTCTGCTTCTGCTTGTCAATAATGACGGGCTTCGGGGGCGGCTGGAATTTTGTGGGCTTTCCGTCGCTGCTCATTCGACAAGTCGAGGAAGAAAACCACCCTGTAAAGATAAAACGCTCAGAAAAACGCCGTTCTCAAAAGGAACCGTTCCCCACAGCTTCGCAGCCCAAACCCCCGCCCTCCCCACAGAACGGGCCCGGGTTCCCTCCCCGGGGCCGGGCGGAGAAAGGCGGGCGGTGCTCACGGACGGGCCGGACGCCCTGCAGCAGCGCTCTCCCACAGGCGGCCGCCATAGCGAATACGGCCACTTCCGGTCTACTGGCGCCAGAGTGCAGGGTGGCTACGGCAAGCGCGGAGGGCCAAAACTACGCCCAGCGCGAAGCGAGGCTGTGCGCCGTTCTACTTCCGACCCCTTTCGAGCTCTTTTAATAACCTAGTTAGCACTCGGTGATTAACTCAGACATGATTATACACATAGGCATTATTGAGTTGCTTTTAAATATATTTCAGTCAGATTTCCTCAGTTGTTCTGAACAGCCTGGATTCAGTTGGTGGCTGCAGGAGATGCAAAGCTCAAACGCAGAGTGCAGAGCTATCAGTAACACCCCATTACTTCAGCTCTGCGGCTTCCCTTCGAAATATGCCCGACTTCAGCCGCTGATTACACCAATGACGCTGCCGGGGAGCTTCCCACCGCCGCTTTCCCTGCGGCAGCTCGCTTTGCCCCGCCCGAACCTTCACACCGAAGCAAGGACAGCCCGCTGGCCATCAGCTCTAGGGGCTCCGAGTCGCAGCTCGATGCAGCCGTGCTGATCAGAACCGCGGGGCTCTGCAGCCTGTTGGTGTAACGCCTGTTAAATTCGGGATGCGACAGAAGGGGGCACTCCGGCCCTTAAAATACAGAACACTTTTCACTACCACCGTGCTCCCCCCAAAATGATGTTGTTACGATTATTACCACGGTCTGAATGTCTAAGTACTCGCTAGGCAGAAAATTTTATCTTGTGGTGTGAGGAGTAATTCCAATACCATAATGGTGATAGAGGGGATCTCAGAATAGTTGAGCTAATAGAAGAGCTGAAGCTCTTTTTTGTTCCCACCAAAATGCATTTCAGTTGCCTATTTGGGAATCTGAGTTCCACTGGGGAGAAAGCCCAGACCGGTAGAAGGCAGTGCTTAGCCTCGTCCCTTGTCACCTATGATATGTGGGCAAGGTCTTTCATTTAAGGTCATCCTTCATATTATTGTCTTTTAAATCCAGTATTCCGGTGTCCTTCTTACAATGCTTCAAAACCAGATTTCGTTTGGCACATGCATTTCACTGACCTGTCTTCCTCCCCTGATGTTTTTCTCACTGCGTCTCTCAGGTCACCAATATAACTGGTTCCTCTTGGGCCCATTTAGAAACAAACTCCTTGCTGAAGGTTTCACTGAATGTTGGTTTACTTCTAATAGGTGAAAAAAAGATTTTTAGGCACTATTCTGATTTTTAGGCACTAAATCTGCCTTGCATTTTGCTCCACCCTTTCCTGGTGACTTTCAACCATTCGTTTTTATTCTCTAGGATTCATCTCAACTTTATGTAGGCATGAAAGTCCGAAGTGCTGTGATCTGTGATCTCAGACCATTCACTGCTTTGTTCAGACAGGGAAGGAGTACATATTTGTGGTGCAGAGATGCCTGACAGTCTGTACTGGTGTTGATTCAGAGTGAATTCAGAGACAGTTACTTTGGATCTAGAACATCCTTGGTCTGTTTGACAGTGTAGAGACATGTAAAAGTTGTTACAAGGATTGAGGTGATCTGAGCTCTGAAAACATGGCAATGTTCTTCAGTCCCAGCATGGATATGTCTGTCAGTCTTTGCATCACAGGATGGAAGCTGTATCACTTTCTGAATCAGGCTGTGTTGCAGTCTGAAATGATACATTTTTAAATATTTTCAAATATCCAAGATTTCTTCTAAACGCCCAAGGCGATGCTGCAGCAACCCTTACACAGCTGTCTGTGAAGCGTCAGAGTGTGAAGAAGGGAGTGAATCTGCGCTTCATGTTCCCCAAGGAAACGTGTATCTTTTTGGAAGAAAGGCAGCAAAAGTTAGTAACACCTGCTATTATTATGATTTTGTCTCCATACATACAGAAATATTTACAGGAAGCTGAGCAGATCTGGAGATACAATATGTTGTGCATTCGGGGTTAAGAACACGGTGTCCCAAGAGGCCAGATTCCAAAAGCAGTGAGTATAACTGCTGGAGGCCTTCCTCACCTCATCCTTGCTGCGCACGTAGGAAGCAGATATGGTCATTTCCTTCAGAAATGGAAATGGGCATTGGTTCAGTACAGTTTAGTTTCAACTGGATTTAAAAGTGGAAATAATGCTTTTGTTAATTCCTTTCCAAAACCTTTCTCTAACAGTTGCTGTCTCAGTAGTGAATCTCCTTCCTTTGTCATTTATGCAGCAGTGCAACATAAATGCATCTCTCCTCTCTTCTATACTTTGCTGGTTTGTGCAGACATAAAAGTACAAACACAGTCTGCAAGTGATCCCAGCTTACTGAGATACCATAGAAAAGTGAAATGGAGAGAAAGAAATGCTAATGAATCCCCCAAAGTGTTCGGTGTGCCCATATCTGTAGGATATGGCATATCTGTGTAGGTGTTAACTGCTACCTGGCACTTTTTTTTCCAGGAGTGTCCTGAGGTGCTTTTCCAGTGGAGAAAAAGGAGGCTCAAGGAAGCTAACTGAAAATGTGAGGGTAATCTCCATGGAGTGGAGTGGCTCCACTGCTTCTGAGCTTGGAGGGTGACATCTTCCTAATGGAAGTGACCGAGGGCAAGAGCCTGCTTTTGACCTAACTAAATTCTACCCTTTACCCTTCAGGCAGAGAGGCCATGAGTGTCACACAGTCCAGGTGCATCTGCCATATTCAGTAAGTCCCTTAAGCCCTCCTGAAAAACCACGTCAATGTATACACAAGGCCATGCCTGGATTCCTCTCCGCCCTGCTTATCCCAAATATCAAAGCGGTTCTGTGCAACTGCTGACTGCAAGGAAATGTAAAAGCTAATCTGGAAATGTTTGTGTGTGGTGAATTTTATTAGAATATTCAAACAGTCTGGCAGCAGCTCTAGTCCTTCTGGACGTGCCTTTAGTGAGGCATGGTGAGTTGCCATAGCTTAATACGAATTGTTGAAATTTAGTATTCAAAATAATTAAATCCTAAACGCTGCCTAAAATGACCTGAGGTACCAGACCTTTCTGTCACATACAGCTGTTCACTAAGATGGCCTTCAAGCATACGTTTTCTTTACCTTATTGTAGAGCAAGCAAAGAGGTGAGAGAAAACTATTCTTTAGACACAGCATTCTAGCACTGAGTTTGGGGAGGCAATGGACTGGAAAACCTTCAGTTCATTCTGTCAAAACACCCCCAGGCTTTGGCTGTTTTTGAGCACACATCCTGTTGGAGCCACACGTGCTTTAACCCCGCAGACCAACGTGTTCTTTTCTCTGTGTGTGGCAGCTGGAGCAATGCTCAGACCTGCTCACATGAGCCCCAGGCTCCTGGTGTGCTTCTGAAAGTAGGTATGGCTCTTGTGGCACATCACCTGTGTGTCCACACACATCCATCTTCGTCCGTTTGTTCTGTAAGACACTTTAAGAGGAACTGAATCCAATGTAGGAGCCCATGCTGAAATTAATGTAAAGTAGACTCCAACAGACTGCGTAGAAGATAGTTTTACAGCATTGCTTCAGAGATTAAAAGCATGAGACATTTTGACTTCAAAAGGGGAAGCAAAGTGTGTGACAAAGTGAGATTAAGTTCAGCAAACAGTGTCTGAGGCCTTTCCCTGAGGTAGTAAATTCTTGTATCCTCTTGAGTCCTGTACAGGTTCAGATGTGAAGGGGGGTGTGCTTCTCTGAGGTCCCACAGTGTAAGTCATGGAGGAATAATTTTCTGGAGCTGTTATACAGAAAGCCTAACCAGGAATGCCATCAAACAAGTAACTCATTGAGTAGCCCAGGCAGTTTTGTAAATACTAATGTCAAACTGAAATGAAAGATAACTCTTGGGTTGGGAATATCTACCTCATTCCAGAATTCTGAGCTTCTTCAGAAATGGTACAGAACATTTTGAAAACCTAGAAAGAGCACTGAGCTCAAACAAGTCATCCCAGTGGATTATGAAGAAAAAAAACATTAATCTTGAAAGGCAGGTGTAATCTGAAGACTGATGGGTGAACTCCAGGTACCTTTACATTTCATAGAGTCAATATTTGTTCTTTCTCTATTTATAACCCTATTGCTCTCTCAAGGTGGGCAGGAGATTTCAAAAGGAGACCATTTGTTTCTCTTGATGAAAGCATTAACGCCAGTGGTTTGTCACAGTAAATTATACTTACTATCACAACCTTCTCATGCATGGGAAATAGCAAACCAAAATTTATGATCTTATTACTCAAAGTCACAGCTTCTCATTATTTTAAAGCAAGCCAGCTTCTGCTCTTCAATACTGTAGGAGCAGTGAGCAAGCTCGGGAGAAAATTTGATCCAATATCCTTTGTTCCACAAAGCACCTTTAGAAATCATAACATTATTTTCCACTGTGCTGGTTCAACTGCATACAGTATTATTCTGAAAAGACAAGCGGAAGAGGGAAACTGCTAATTCATCTTACATCTCACTTAGCACCCACTGCATTTATAGCAGGCTTCTACCTGAGAACTGGGCTTTACAAACTTTGCATCCTTTTCTCATCCCCCGCACAGGAATCAGCTATGGACACTGGATTCCTAAAACAGCCGAAGAAGTCCTCCACTCTCCCAGGTAACCGTAATGCCATTTGTGGCAGTTGTCTTTTGCTGAAAATCCAACAGCCTTGAGTTAATTCTCAGGCTACCTTAGGGACTGAATGCAGCTGCTTTTTTTCTAATGTCAGAAGATGCACTTTGCAGAGGTGATGTGGAAACTAGCTGGTGCGCTGTGTTGGAGCAGATTCAGGAAGCTGAAAAGAAAAATGAATAATTTTACCCATCACTACAAGAAAGAAAAATGTGGTTTGTCTAATTACATATGTCCAAGAGAACGCTAGCACATGTGTATGCAAACTGTTGAGTCCCAGCCTGAACCACTGATTGAGCACCTGGGGAAAAGACCTGGTCAGTCCTGGGAGCACAGGTGAAGGCAATTCAGCTGTAGGACTGGAAGGAGCGGAGCCTGGCTGCAGCTCTCTTAGACCTCAGCTGGGGGCTGACTGCTACTGGGGAAGGATTTCTTGTTGGAGACCCCCCTCCCCCTTGTGGAGCCTTTCCTGTAGA